AAAAAGGTGGCACAAGCATTGCTCCAAAGGCACTCCATAAGCGTTCCATGGTTTGCGCATGACGGGTGCTTCCATATGTTCCACAATATCTGTATCTTTTAAGAATTTTTTTTGTTACATATTATCTGTAATTTTACAATTTCAATGCTGTATTAATTACATATTTATCAATTATACCCTTTTTAACTCTCTAACACTCTTTATGCATTAATTAGTAAACAAGGATATTTTGGTCTATCTATATCTATTTTTCTAAAATCAAGTCATATTTTTTGAGATTCTTAAGACTCGTGCCAAGGTGAAAAACGACACATATTTATGAACGGATGAAGTATTAAACAATGTTGACGACCTTTGACTGCCTTCGTCGGCCAATCGAATATTCTAACGCCATGGGTTTTGTCGTAATTAAACATAATTAGTGGGAAGTAAAATATAATATTGGTTTAATAATTGAAACCTTTTGTCTTAGCTTTGTTATTTATAATAATGCAAAAAAATATTCCCAAAGTGGAGAAGTTTGTCTTTAATACAACTTTATGGTATCTATGAATCTGGTTCATGATTTGGGTAATATTCAAATCAGATTAGTGGATCTTAAGTACGTGTTAATCCTTTTTTTAAAAATTATTTTAATTGTAATTATTATTATTATTTTATGGGTTTTTTCAATTCCAAGAGAAGAGGGGTTCGTGGAAACCAAAACAACAAGAATGAAGACCATTACACAAAGGTGTTGAAAGTTCAAATTTGGTCTAATTTTACTATGTTAAATTAAAACATTATGATAATCTCGAAAATAAATAAAAATATAGTATTAATAAAAAAAAATATTTGGAAATTTATGCTACATTGAAATCGAAGCAAGGGTGTTTATATTTAGTTTACATTGTTAATTGTTATACTTACGAGTTAAGACCAACAATTTTACGTTATCGAGTTAAAGATAGTGTTTTTACGATAAATAAATAAATACTCGAATTTCGACCTCAAGATTGTTTACTATAGTTTTTATTTCTGGGAGAGAATTTTTAGGTCAAAATATAGGAATATTCCATTTATAAAATCTTTCGTACATGTCTAGTGGTGGAGCTTAGAATTTTATATTTACGCAGGAAAGTGACAACACTGTACCGCTCGAAAAGTAACATAAAATTGTATTAGATAATAAATTTTATGTGCGGTGGGACCAATCCAAAGTTTCATATAGAATAAAGAATGTTCAATTACTTGTTTGATGTAAAATTATTAAATAAAATAACATAAAAAATAAGAAAAGTCAAAGAACATAAGTATCTCGTAGCTAAAAATTATTCAAAAAGAAACATAAAATTTCATATTTGTATGACAGATATGTGTAACACATGAATCTTTCACCAAATGTCACATACATATATATTATATTGACTCTGAAAATCGTGTCTACAATAAATCTCCGTAAATTAATAAAATCTATTAATTTAACAAAATATTAAATTATCAAATTAATAATTTAATACATTTTCACCTAGTCAGAATCGAGGAAAAATATTATTCTAGCGAGATTATTAATTTATCGATATTCTACTATATAAATAATTAATATTAAATTTGTGTTCTCCATTTGGAAGTTATTTAATGAATTTTCCAATTACTATTGATTTTTCATTTTTGACTAAATAATAAGTATTGAAATCTTAAACAACAAATAATAGCTAGTTTTGCCTAAAATAATCTATATACCTAACTAATTAATGACCAATTAAATATATATTAAATACCAAAAATAGGATTGCCAAATCTTATTATGAATTAGAAATCAATTAGTACTTTACTTTGTTCAAAATAGCGTCCAGGTTCATCCCCCCTAAATTTGAACTCGTAACAATTTTTCCCCTTATAAAAATCGAACATCCAAAAACTTCACAGGTCAGTAGAATCCACTTCTTTCTCTCTCCACTTTCAAAAATAGATGAA